GTATCAGATTCATCTGAAAAAGCTGATAGTTCAGCCGAACCTGAACGTAATTTGGAAAAATTTTAATGCATCAAAACATAATTCTGTGAAATAAGGTACTGGGTTTTGCGATTTCAGACAGATCATATTTTTTTTTCTCTTCATTTTGCGAACGCTTCACGATTCCACCCATCTTTTTTCAAAAATTTCAAAAAGTTAACACGGTGAGATTTGTTTAAAATTAGTTGTTTTGGATGAAACTGACCAGCCGCGTCAGAAATTAGGCGTGCTCAGCATTAACTTCCATAGAGAATAAAGTTTGCCTTGTGGTTTTTGTTTTGGTTGAGTTTAGAATGAAAGTATGTCAGGCAAACTGTGTGATAATATGAAACTGCAAGCTGAAAAATTAAAAAAAATTTTTTTTTCAAATTCGATTTGTTTCATAATCTGTTATACTCGACATCATCAATATTTCAGGCTACATTTCCTGGAATTTCGCAAAACTTTGAATTTCAAAAGGCTGTTGTTCTGGACGTTCCTCGCATCCAAGAGATTTCAGGAAAGAGAACGATCAGTGTCTCTCATCCGGAATTTTCTTGCTTACTGCTGAGAATGCTGTTAGTGCACTGTTTGCTTCTAGGCAATCAATTTGTCATTTTGTTACGTTGCTTTTTCAGTTATCAGTTTGTCATCGATTTTTGCCATTTTGAATGTCTATAGATTTCCGGTGATTTTTCTTTTTTTTGATATTGTAAGCTCTAAGCTTTAATGGTATTAGCAATTTCGTCGTTCTTTTGGGTATTCCATAAAATTAGTGGCGTTTATCTTCTGGTGCTTTTCTGAATCCCCTGGAAACATGCGATATTCTTTTTTTTTTTTATTCTCCTAATTATATCAAAATTTGCAAAAATGAGTTTGGGCTTTTTTGTTTTTTTGCAATAGATGCGTTTGTAGCAAAACTCTCTGTACTGTATCGCATCGGTTTGAAGCAAACATAACATCAGTTTGAATTAAATTTCGAAGTGCACGAAAAGGGCAGGTCAATGTACAGTGTGTGTGTGTGTGTTTGTGTGTGTGTGTGTGTTTCATCCCTTAGCTGTTTTGTTTTCGAACGTTTTGCTTTTCAAGGATAGCTTTGTCAGACTGTTTGTTATTTGTTCTTTGCCCAGGGAAAAAGGGGGCATTTTCATACGTTATGTTCTTATATCGGTGCAAGATTTTATTGAGACTTTGGAAGAATTTTGTGTGTTATGTATGCATGCATAATGCTTTGATTTGCCCTGCATATTGCTACTTTAGAAAGTAAACATTCTCTCCTCCATCGTACTATGTTTCCATTGTTCACCACTGATCACTAGTGCTAAACTATATTGTCCAGTTATTCTTAATAATGATCTTCTGTGATTGTGAATTCTTTTCGGTTACTTGAAAAGTTTGTTCATTCTATCGTACAAATTATTATTGTTTTATCAGACTGTTTGTTTCGGTCTTTAATTTTCTCAGAATTTCTTAAAGATAAGTCTCTCTTTTCGATTTTTGTTGATTACATTTTAGCATGTTATCGTTAATTTTGTTCCCCTTGCTCCGTAAAACAAAGGCGCTGCCAGAGGCTTTTAAGTGGAATCAGAATGGGTTTCCAAGACGCTGACTTACGTTGGATCTGTTGGAACTTGTCATTTTGACCTCTTCAAACGAAAAATAGCGTAGAAAGAGACAGAGTAAAATGGATTTTTCAGTGATGCGCCTTTTTATAGCATTATTGGCTTTTGATTAGGACTATTCCACTTCGGGGCAGCGTGTGTAGTGACCAGTAGCATTCGCGGGGGCAAAATGACCATTCGAATTTATCTCTTGCTACGTGCCTGTTTGAGAGAAGGGTCAATTGACGGAATGTGGTGAATACAAAATCTGAGGAGGCTAAGGGGGAGGAAAAGAGTTCGGGCAAGTGGCAAGGGCTGCCTGGCTTGCTTTACGCCAAAAATCTGCTCATCCTTCGCGGATTTACCAATTTAAAACGACTTTCCTCTCCCTGGCTACTTCTCTTGGCCAAGACAGTGAAGTCTGGCTGACGTGCTTGCATCTCGGTGCTTTCCGTAATTCAGCACTGACTTTTGGACGCTCTTCCGATATTTCCAGCTGGTTTCCGAGAGACTTTTCAGTTCTGCGATTGCCAGGCTAGGTAGATCTTCGGACTTCCGTGCTTGGTTTCCAGCGTTCCAGGAGTAAAATTGAAACATTTGAGTCTGTTTGTTTTTGGTGGATTTTGTTGTTCCGTGATGATTTTAGCTGCATCAAATTTTAAATCCTAGTTAATTTCCACGTCCTTCATGCAATTTCTTGCCGTCCGGTTCAGCTTTGACAGTTTTCCATGCGGCAGTTGTGATTTTCGCTAGGCTGTTTTTCCCCCGTTACAAGTTGAGCGGCGTGTAAGCCTCAATACTTTCAATGATTTTTCAAGAGCTTTCGTTTTCCATGTTTCCTTTCTATTCGTAGGTGTCTTTGTCTATTCAGATTTATTGCAAAAGTTTTTAACAAAACATTGTATGAGGTGTATTGCGTGAGCTAATATTTAAGCGATCCTGAATTGTTCAGTTGAGGTCGCGCAGTGCTCATGTCCACAGTTATCACTTGTATATCGTTTACGTCATTTAATCATCAAATCATTACATTCTGTTTCTGTTTTTGTAAAATAGGTTGTATTTTAAGAGACTCATTACAAGTTACTTTTTTTCACTTTCCCAATCTGGCAGTCCCCTGATTCTCAAGATTCTCATGCGTAATTGAGCAAATTTTCCGAGGGC